GACATCCAGAACAAGCGCTTCTACCTGGACGTGAAGCAGAACGCCAAGGGCCGCTTCCTGAAGATCGCGGAGGTGGGCGCCGGGGGCAGCAAGAGCCGGCTGACGCTCTCCATGTCGGTGGCGGTGGAGTTCCGAGACTACCTGGGCGACTTCATCGAGCACTACGCGCAGCTGGGCCCCAGCCAGCCTCCCGAGCTGGCGCAGGCCGCGGACGAGCCCCGGCGGGCCTTGAAGAGCGAGTTCCTGGTGCGGGAGAACCGCAAGTACTACATGGATCTGAAGGAGAACCAGCGCGGGCGGTTCCTGCGCATCCGGCAGACGGTCAACCGCGGGCCCGGCCTGGGCTCCACGCAGGGCCAGACGATCGCCCTGCCGGCCCAAGGCTTGATCGAGTTCCGCGACGCCCTGGCCAAGCTCATCGACGACTACGGGGTGGAGGAGGAGCCGGCCGAGCTGCCCGAGGGCACCTCCTTGACGGTGGACAACAAGCGGTTCTTCTTCGACGTGGGCTCCAACAAGTACGGCGTCTTCATGCGGGTGAGCGAGGTCAAGCCCACCTACCGCAACTCCATCACCGTCCCGTACAAGGTGTGGGCCAAGTTCGGCCACACCTTCTGCAAATACTCGGACGAGATGAAGAAGATCCAGGAGAAGCAGAGGGACAAGCGGGCCGCCGCCGCCGCCGCCGCCTCCTCGTCCTCTTCCGGGGGAGGGGATCAGCAGCCGCCGGAGACCGAGAGCAGCGGCAGCCCCGCGGCCACCGCCGGCCCGCCGGGAGCCTTGCTGCAGGCCGAGGAGCCGGAGGAGGATTGATCTCCATCCCTCCTTTTTCCATCCTCCTCCCCACTTCCCTCCTCTCCACTTGGCTGCCTCCTCCCTGCCCTGCTGCACAGAGACACTTGTAATAATAACGATAACAACAACACCAACAACAACAACACACAGAGAGAGACTTTTATACTGTAAAGCGAGAGAGAAAGAGAGAGAGAACCGACACCCACACAACGAAAACCAACACATGCAGTTAACTACTATACCTGTTGTTATGACTCCAAGGGGAGCACCACCCAACCACCCACCTACCACCAAAACTGACAGCCGCGCTCAAGCAACTCCTTTCTCTCCACTCCCATCGCTGGATTGTTCCTTCCACTCTTGCCCATCGTATAAAACAGTAAGCAGCTGCTAAAAACAAAACAAAAAAAATTACAAAAAAAGTAATAACATTATATATGATGAACTGTGTTTCCTACTTGATTAAAAATATAAAGAACTGAGTGTTTATTTCCCTAATTAACCAAGAACTTTTGTACACGTTTAAGCTATTATTATTATTAAAAAAAAGTGTTTGCAAAAATGGTCAAGATTAAAATATTGCTGAATTATATTAAAAGAGAGAAAATGTCCTTTTCATGTTGAGCTAACATTTGACTTTAGCACAAAAAAAGAGATATTTTAGAACACGTAAAATAATATTTTTAGTTTTTCTTCTCATTTTGTTACCAAATTTCAAAACCTTTCATGGAGGTTATTATAGTATATTTGACACCCTATATACCTGTGATTAGAGATGTGTATATATATATGAGGGCTAGGCATGCTGTGTGTCTGAGCTTTGTCTAAATGTTATGCAGAAGTCTGTAGAGTTAAAAGGTACGTAGGTTTAATTCATGCAAGGTAAACAATAAGTGCTCTCTTTTATACAATATGCATTGCATCTGGACCTTAAACATATAAAATGGTCAGTGAAACTTCTGTGAACATGAAGAAAAATTATTAAAAAGGCATTTAAATGAAATTTGCTAACTTGTGATTTTTATGGTTTGAACCAAAGTTATTGGAATAGTAAAGAGGAGAGAGAGAAAGAGAGAGAGAGAGAAATCTCCAATATTTTTCTGCACCTGTTTGGTTTACAACTAAGTAGGTATGTTGTCATTACTGTGTATATGAGATGTACTTGTATTGTTCATAATATATATATATATATTTTTATGATGTGTACTTAAAGTACGTTAATGTGCAGCAGTTTCCAGTGAACCTGTTTTTAATAACAGGTGGTGAGGATTTTGTGTATGTGGCCACTAGCAAAATCCCCTTAACTTGTTTGGATCAAAAACTCCAGTTTGTGCTAGTGCTGAGTAACATATGTAGGCCTGTCCTAGAAGTCAGTGCAACATGATCATAATGTGATCCTACTGAGCCATGGATTTGAGTTTCCTTTACAAGTAACAGCCAAGTTGATGTGTTGTAAAGAAATTTCATGTAGCTGTGGTGCTAGTTATTACTGGCTACATACTTTATATATGTGGTAGTGACCCACCCCCACCCCCAACTTTGCAAGCCTTCAGTTAAAAGTATATACTTTGTGCGATATATTAAAACTATAGGGTACGAAAATGGTCTGTCAGAACACTAATCTGTCAACAAGTGTTCTCCAAATTTCATTTATTTGTAGTAACATACTTTTACAGATATTTCTTTAAAAATGTGTGCTTTTAATTGACTAACTTCTTGCTGCTGTATAGTAAAAATATTAATATATTTTTATTATTAAACTGCTGCATGACTATCATCGTTGCAAGTGAAAATGATATGTTATAAATGATGCCTTAAAACACTAGAAAAACCTAGTTGGGTTTCTGTAGAAAAAGTTGACAAAATAAGAATCTACTGATTCTTGAGTTTTGGAGTGTGCTCATTTTCTTAACATCGCTGAAAAAAAATATAACGATTTAGATTTAACTGCTGTATGTAGAAGATGCCACCTGTAGGAACAGGAACTTTCTATGCTTCTCATTGATTGTAAATGGTTGGGTCTAGGAGAGACAAAGATTGTTCAAAGAAATTATATTCTGTTTTCATTAAAGTATAATTCCCTGTTTTAGAGATGTACTATAAGTGTCAATATAAAATCTGTTTCTGTTGTATCATCCATTTCTAGTTAAGTTTGCTACTGGTGCCCATAGAGCACCAAATGTGCAATAATGCTGTAGTTGTTAACAATTTTTGTTCGAAGAATCACTGGAATTTATTACATTATTTTTTAAGATGCACTTTGCAACATGGCAAAAATAAGCTTCCATAGTGCATAATGTGATAATTGAAATGGTTTTTGACCACTTATAAACATTTAGTGGTATGCCTGCTTAGTTTTAATTGGAAGGCCTGTTGATCAGTTTCTTACTGTATTTGAACTGTGATGTGGGAAGGACTGCATTCTCCATGGTACAGATAGTTAAGGAAGTCTAAATTGCTTTGCTTTTGCAACTTGGTTGTCTTGGTTTTGCTATTCAGTATAGTTCAAAAAGTTGCAGCAATGAAACCTGGCAGAAGTTTTATGTTTTAGCAATAACTTTTGTGGGTCAGTGTCAGCGAGGTGTCTTTTTGTCCCCTTTGAATCAATCCAAACTTTGTTAAAAGAATGAAATATTTATTTGGTTTCAGGTTTGACCCAGTAATTTTAAAGAGAGTTAAAAGAGATTTGAAAGTATCTTCACTTGTCTTGATGTGAATGTACATTTGGTTTCCCTCTGTATTGGCTCTGGTCAAAAAGTTAATTCTGCAGATTCATGAAACAAGACATCTGTTTATCAGAAGTAAAAGTGGAATGAGTCTGCACAATACAAGCAATGGGTTCACATTCAAACCATCTTTGACTCTCAGAAAACATATTATCTATGTCCAACCAACATAAGGTTGGTTTTAGACTTAAAGGTCTGTAGAATCATTTTGTGTATTTCCTTTTCCTGAGAATCAAAAATAACAAAAAGGAACTCTTTTTGACCCAGACATTTTTGATTAGGTTGGTTCAAGATATGTGGGTTGTATAGTTCTCCTTGTATCATCACAACTTACCACCTTTGCAATGAAGTTTTATCTCCTGAGGGTGTTTTAGTTTATAGACACATCTGAGATACTTTAGGCCTTCACCAATGGTAATAAGATGTTACATTGACTATAAATGACCTTGCTTTGAGTTTCATTTTTTTCCTAGTTTAGGTGCTCAGTACTTTACCAAGGTTCCATTGCTTGCTATCAGAATAAGCAATGGTGAGGGAACCTTGTTTTAAGATTATAAGAGCAAAAGTAGTGGTATATTTGACCATATTTGACGTTCTAAAAACAGTATGCTCAAATGTGCCAAGCAATACATATTTTGGAAAATATGCCTTGTTTTCCTTAGTATGTTTTCAGTGTCTTGATCCACAGTCATAATGCTACTATATAAAGTGTAAGAAAACTTGAAATCCACTGCAATACAGACATATTCTCTCTTTATTTTTGCTTTGTAACTGAAAAGGACACTGTCAAGTAATGTACTTTTAAAAAATGACCTCCCTTTCAGGTGATTACAGCATGGCAAATGTCCTCAGTTTAAGTCCCACTTGTTTTCTTTTTTTAATTGCTCTGTCTGAGAAATTAAATAAACAAGCTAAAAATTAGACACTGTTGATTCATGCCTCTTTATTGTTTTATGCTGTAAAGTACAGTTTTCAGCCAGAGGGGGAGCTAAAGTAACTTTAAAAATCATTTGAATAGTGTTGAAATTGCAGAATTTGACTGTGTGCCACAGGAAATTAGCAGGGAGGAGGGAAAGCAGGAAACCCAGCATTTACTAAACAAATCATCCAGAGAAGGTAGGAATACTGTATTTTGAAGTTCACAGGCAAGCCTTGCATACAGTGATGGAGAATTTGTTAAAATGTAAATGTTTATCCTAAAAATACTTGACAGTGTCACTTTTTAAAAATATTCCTTGTGAGGGTTGCTGTCTGCTCCATCTAGGACTCTTGGGGAAGTACTACGAAACAAAACCGCACACACAGAATATTGTGAAATATAGTCTGCTGTGCAGACAATGAATTATCATGTTAGGTAATGAATAAAATGTATTAGTAGGCCCGTAATTTCATTCAAGAACAATTATATTTTTTATTTTCAAAACAGCACTGTAGCCACTGCTTCGATCAGCCATGTCCCTTTTAAGCTATGCAAACTATTGTATATGTTGTGGTCGGTTCACAGTTGCATGAGGTTTGTGACTCATGAGCATATATGCTTATAGTTATTGGTACTTTTAAAAAAAAATACTGGCAAAAACTATTAAGTCTACCTATTCTGACATTTGGTAGTTTGGAAAGAATACAATATCTTCTTGAAATGGGATTATAATATTTTATAATTGTTTTCCTTTAAAATACTATTTTTGTCCATTTTTATTTAATTTGTAAAGTATTTTTTACTTTGTACTGGCATAAATAGGATATTGGTATATCTTTTTGAAGCCAACTGATCAAGTTAATTTGTAATAAAAAAAAGATGGATCTGTTTCAGTTGTACTCACTGTTGTCATTTCTTGTATGACATACGATTTATGTTCTAATTCCATGGTGTTACATGCTTCCTGAGAAGCTGCAGAGAAAACATGGAAAGAATTGCAGAATGAGGGAGGTTGATTTTGACATTAACATTAAAAATTAAAATGTGCTTGTATTTGACTTACAGCTGGTTGGTTAGCTTAGGGAGTTAGGTGTTTGGCTGCAGCAGAGCCAGAAACTAGGAGTTAACATCCCTGTTGTGTACCCCAGAACAGCCAGCCGATGTGGCCTTGGGCAAGCTGCA